TTCTCTTCCATAATGCGTCTGCTTCATCATAGTATCTTTCCATTTATCTGTGCTGGGCTGCATTGGTCTTGACTTAGATCAATAGAACAAAATTAGCAAAACCAAGCAGCACTTGGGGGCAGGGGGAGAAAATAAATATTTCCCAAATCAATAGCGAAAAGAGGCTTGGGGCCAAACACAGGCAGCATGCTTGAGAAATGCAGTCCTTTATTCACAATTTTCTAGCAACAATAGCAAGGGATTTCTCTCTAGAGCTCTGTATGGGAGCAGGAGAGGTGGTCCAAGCACTGAACTGAGAATTGCAAACTTCTGGCTTCCACAGCTGACTAATTGTATGCCCGGGGCAAGGCACCCATATTTCTAGGAGCAACTTAAATCAAAGTACAGAGTCTCATAAGCTATTACATGACTGAGCTTCATTGATCACATAGAAGGATATTCATATGCACTGGCTATAGGCCCAGAGTCCTGACCCTGGGCTCAATGGGTGGATGTTAGGGGTGGGACTAGACTTGCCTTTGGTTTTTCCACAGATCTGATCTGGAATCTAGAGGGAATGTCCCCAGGTGTAACATCCTCTGTGTCTCATCTTCCCTGCTACTAACTGGGGATAATACTTAACCACTTCCCAAAGTTCTAGTGATGATTAACTAACTAGACTAGATGGCTGTGAAGTGCTTGGTATGCGACCATCATTATAGGTGGGCTGAGTCTTGTATTTAAAAGTGTGAAAGAGAAACTGAGAAGGTCCCATCTGGATACATTCTTCTACCCTAAATCTGAGAGCATCCCTGTGCCTATGCACAGTGCCCCATGAAGGCTTTGTTCCATGTAGTTACAGTGAATAACTGTTAATTCTCCACTCCCACGTATTTCAAAATAGAAGCATTGCTCATTCGGATGGGGAAGAGCCCTTTGGCTCTGTTCCTATAGAGAAGAGCTGAGCTTCTGTAGAGGGCTGTAGCAGTGAGTGGGAAAACTGTACAGGGCTCATGTGAGTGAGTTGAATTACATGGGTAACATGCCCCTGCACAACATAATGCGTTCCTAGAAGAGAGCTAACATGGAGAGAGAAAGTGTCCCCTGGCACCATTGATGTCAAGGGTAAAGCTCCCATAGACTTGGAGTCAGGATTTTTCAATTCTGCCTCCTCTCCAGGAAGAGGGTTTAACAAGTATTCAGTGTTTGTTGATCAATTTCGGCCTGTGAGGCAGGACATGACATCTCCTTATTATTTATTTATTTAGTCATTGACCACAGCATGATACAGGCTCTGCAGACAAATGAAACAGCCACGTTCCTTTCTCTTAATACTTCCCAGTCTACTGGTAGTCACAACACAGCAGATGATACAAGCAATTGGAGTGGGGGGGGGGGGGGGGAGGGGGCCGGGCGGGGTGGGGGGGGGGGGGAAAGGAGGGCCAGCGGGTTACAATCATAAGGTCATTCAGTGACTTCGATTTGCCATGTACATCTCCTGGGGGATCCACCAGTAAAAATACATTCAAAAGCAGACGTGTCTCTTTCTCTCACGCTTACACCCACAGAATAAATAACGACTGTCTCTTTTCTAACCCCTCTCATATTCACAGAACTGGGTGCTTCCTAGCCTCATTAGTGAGTCCCTTCAGGACAAACAGAATTGTTAAGGTTCCAGGACTATCTGAGCGGAGATGCTTCTGTGCTTAATAAAGAGCTGGCAGGAGGCCACACTTTGCTGAGGCTGGGCAATGAGTGAGCATGAATTAATAGAACTGTTCCCTTGAGAGGGTGGCTCAGCAGGGTAAACCCCAGGTTATTAATGTCTAGAACCACAGGGTCAGTGCTGGCTGGGTCAGCTCAGTCCTTCATTCTTCTCATACATGAACTGAGTTTTATGCAGTTTAGGGAAGAACTTAAAACTAAGTGTCAGTCTCTGTAACATGTACCAAGATGCCCTTGCCTTTGGATAAAATGTTCCCTCCCCATCCCTCCCATTGTGCCCAGTGCTGATGGGATCTTCTCTAGAGGCGGTGCAGTTTAGAGGTGCTGTCTGCGTGCAGCATGTGAAGCTCTTTGAGACAAAGTACCCCACAGGAAAGTAATACATGGTGGTATTATTTAGGGAATGGATGGGCAATTAGCAGTTAGCAAAAGCTATGTGTCTAACCTATCTAAGGGTATGTCTACACTACCCTCCTAATTCGAACTAGGAGGGTAATGTAGGCATACCGCACTTGCAAATGAAGCCCGGGATTTGAATTTCCCGGGCTTCATTTGCATAAGCCGGGCGCCGCCATTTTTAAATCCCGGCTAGTTCGAACCCCGTGCCGCGCGACTACACGCGGCACGGAGTAGCTAGTTCGGATTAGGCTTCCTAATCGGAACTAGCTGTACTCCTCATTCCACGAGGATTACATAAGCCGGGATTTAAAAATGGCGGCGCCCGGCTTATGCAAATGAAGCCCGGGAAATTCAAATCCCGGGCTTCATTTGCAAGTGCGGTATGCCTACATTACCCCACTAGTTCTAACTAGCGGGGTAGTGTAGACATACCCCCCGTTATCTGATAGTCACTATGTGGGACTCTGAACTTGATGGATGCAGCAGTCTCTGTTTGGATCCATTGGCCCAAAGCAAAATGTGTTGCATTTTTATCTCCCCCCCTCCCCGCTTATTTGTCATTGACTCATTTAGCATAAATCTAATTTAGAGGAAGAAAAAAACAAACACACAAGCTCCCAGAACGTGAGCATCTTTATGGGCTAAGAATTTCAAATGTCACCTGTGCAATCAAGCAGTGTCGTTGTAGCTGTGTTAGTCCCAGGATACTAGAGGGACAAAGTGAATAAGGTAATATCTTTTATTGGACCCCCATCTGTTAGTGAGAGAGATAAGCTTTTGAGCCACAGAGCTCTCCTACAAGTCCACTGCAATCAGGCAGCTTTGTCCCAGCCACATTGCATCTGATAAATTCAGTGAGGCCAGCTTCTCTGCTGTAATAGGTTGGCCAAGCTCCCCTGGGCTATGTCTAGAGAGCAGCACTATTCAGGATACCGGAAGTATCCCAAAATAGCAATTCTGCATCTTTAAACATGCCCGTTATTTTGAAATATATTTTGAAATCGTGGGCATGCTATTCCGGCATCCCTGTAACCTTTGTTTCACAAGGGCTAAGGGATTTGTCAGAATAGCGCTTTATTTTGAAATTTGGCACTGTGTAGAGTGCGCCACATTTCAAAATAAGCTATTTTGAAATTACCTCGAAAGCATAGCACAAATTGCATAGTTTATTTCAAGGTAAGGGTACAGTGTAGATGCACCCCTGGAGTGCATGGAGCTGTGCTGGGGTAAGGTCAGTGGTACCATAGGAATTCAGTGGAGCAATGCTACTCGACATCAGACGAGTCTGGTATTTATTAAATAGCTGTGATTGGGTTTGTCCTAAGACAAGGTTGGGGAATCTCAGGGGCTTGCCTGGATCCAGCCCTGAGGCTCAGGATCCATCCCAGCATTGTGGAGCCTGTGCTGGTGCTCCAGCCCCATTGCTGCCCCGCTATAGGACTAGGGTTGCCAGATGGTTTCACCAAAAATACCGGACCCCCCCCCCCAAAAAAAAAGCACAAGGAAAATTTTTGTTAAGCAAAAAAAATAAATAAATAAAGCTGGGCTGCCGAAATGCAGTCATGGCCACTCCCCCCACCCCAACTGCATGTCCATTGCCGAGTCAGGAAAAGCAGAAAATACCAAACATTTTAGATGTCTGGTATTTTCTCAATTTTTTTACTGGACAGAAGGCACCAATACTGGACTGTCTGGTTCAATACTGGACACCTGGCAACCCTGGAGCACACAAAGTCTGCATGATGAACCCTTTGGTTCGAACTAATGTTACTCCTCAATGTACTCAAAGGAGTAACGTTAGTTCAAACCAAGGGTTTTGGTTCGAACTAACGCATCCCGGAGCACACTTTCACTTTCGAAACAGCTGTTGAGTGGAGTAACGCGCTGGCGAGATCATGCTAATGAAGCGTGGGACATTTAAATCCCCGCTTCATTAGCAATTTCGGTCACCTACATTTGCATCCCTAGTTCGAACTAGGGAGCAAGTGTAGATGTACCCCTAGCCTGGGCCCCCCCCCAGCCTCTGGTGTGCGAGGAGAATATGGGGAGTATCTTTCTCCTTCTCAGTCAGGGGCCATGTCAGTGAGGTTTGGTTTTTTGTTTTTGTTTTGGTTTTCTTGCCTCTCACTTGTGTGCAGTCCCTGACTGATTTTTCTGTGGGTCAGTTCCCCCCCCCCCCAAAAAAAAAGGTTCCCCACTCCTGTCTTAAGCTAACAGTGCCCTCAGCCTGAGTGAGGATATTTCAGAGACTGTAGCAGGAAGCTAGATGGGCCGATCTGGTTTGACAGGAGGAAGGTTACTGGGTAAGATGTTCTTGTTGGTCTGCCTCAGTACAGCTGTGCCTGTACTGTGCCATCCCTGGGGGGGTGTGGGCCCTGAGACAATTTCCCTTCACCGAGGCCCTGCCCCTCCTCTTCCCACTGCTGCTCCACCCCCACTCCACCTTCCCCCAAGCCCCACCCCTGTGCTGTCTCTTCCCACCCCTTGCTCCACCTCCTCCTTCCCCCATTGCACTCCTTCCCCCAAGAGACACGACCCAGGGATTACCGGTGGGCCTGGATGATTTCACCATGGCAGGGGGAAGCAGAGTGACCCAGCTGGGAGATGGCAGAGCAAGCTGGGGCTGGATAGCTCCGCTTCCTGCAGCTCCTTCCACTGCTGGGGAGTGTGGGAATGGACATAACCCCTGCTGCTGGCCCTAGGTCACCCTGGGTCCCTAGGCAACCCCCCAAAGTGCAAGGCCCGGGGCGGTCATCTCGAGCCATCCTATGGATGGGATGGCTCTGCTGGTAGCAATAGAACTTGTGGCCAGCTCAAAGTCCCCATATCCCATTTCCTCAGCTCCCACTACGGCCTCTCACTGTTGTTCTGACGTGAGTCTCCCTGTCCTGCTGTAGGGACCTTGTCCATCTGCCTTGGTTTATCAGAGGAGCCCACTGCTGAAGGCCTCACCTCAACCTCCTTGGTGTCCCATCTGGAGCCACTGGATTCTAGTGAGCAAAGCAACCTGGAGCCTGACCTTGTGCTCAGTGCCCTGCATGCTACCGCAGGATCCGGCTTTGCCAGCGAGGAGAATGAGGAGTCCAAGATCCTACAGCCCCCCCAATACTTCTGGGAAGATGGGGGAGATCTCAATGATTCCAGCCTGGACCTGGGACCAGCAACAGGTAGGTTATTTTTATCCCTTTTTTCCCTTCCTTCCTCCCTTCAGAGCTGACTCTGTTCTCTTGCCTTGACACTCTTCTTGCTAAGGGGAACTGAGGTTAAATATCAACTCTGTTATCTCACCTCAGTGTCTGATGTGTCCCCAAGGAACCCTGAGCTTGTGCAGATATTAAAAACCAAGGTACTGCTGGATCATTATTCACAAGCTGAGGAGAGTATCACCTTTATTTCTGCAAAAGCGGCGTGGAGTCCTGTGGCACCTTATAGACTAACCGAAGTGTTGGAGCATAAGCTTTCGTGGTCAAAGACCCACTTTGTCAGATGCATGTCTTTCGTCTTTGCCCACGAAAGCTTATGCTCCAACACTTCGGTTAGTCTATAAGGTGCCACGGGACTCCTCTCCGCTTTTGCAGGTTCGGACTAACACGGCTACCCCTCTAATACTTGACACCTTTATTTCTGTCTCTTGCTCACCTCACCCTCCCGTTCTCTGTCTCTATCCTCCCTTCAACCCCCTTTCTGGCTTTTCCCTTGCCACTGTGAACTGAACTACGTGCAGCCTAGACATCTGAGCATAAGCCATGGCGAATCCAGGCTGGGCCCTGGGTTTAGGTCCTAGCTGAACTCAGTAGACCCAATTCAGTAGCTGTTTGGTCAGAGTGTGGCCAGCAGAATCTGGCTAGCTGTGTCCTGTCAAATGACTCGGCCAACTTGCTTGGGGCAGCCTGTCAGGCTAACTGGAAAACTGGAACAAAAAGCAAGAATCAGATGTCAGCAAGTCACCAGGTCCTGATGAAATGCATCCCAGGATACTCAAGGAGCTGATAGAGGAGGTATCTGAGCCTTTAGCTATGATCTTTGAAAAATCATGGCAGACAGGGGAGATTCCAGAAGACTGGAAAAGGGCAAATATTGTGCCCATCTATAAAAAGGGGAATAAGAACAACCCAGGAAACTACAGACCGGTCAGTTTAACGTCTGTCCCAGGGAAGATAATGGAGCAGGTAATTAAGGAAATCATATGCAAACACTTGGAAGGTAATAAAGTGATAGGGAATAGCCAGCATGGGTTTATGAAGAACAAGTCATGCCAAACTAATCAGATAGCTTTCTTTGATAGGATAACGAGCCTTGTGGATAAGGGAGAAGCGGTGGATGTCATATACCTAGACTTTAGTAAGGCATTTGATACGGTCTCGCATGATATTCTTATTGATAAACTAGGCAAATATAACTTAGATAGGGCCACGATAAGGTGGGTGCATAATTGGCTGGATAACCGTAGTCAGAGAGTTGTTGTTAACGGTTCTAAATCCTGCTGGAAAGGGATAACAAGTGGAGTTCCGCAAGGGTCTGTTTTGGGACCCGTACTATTCAATATCTTCATCAATGATGTAGATATTGGGATAGAGAGTACGCTTATTAAGTTTGCAGATGATACCAAACTGGGTGGGGTTGCAACTTCTTTGGAGGATAGGGACATAATTCAAAATGACCTTAGCAAGTTAGAGAAATGGTCAGAGGTAAACAGGATGAGGTTTAATAAAGAGAAATGCAAAGTGCTCCACTTAGGAAGGAACAATCAGTTCCATACATACAAGATGGGAAGCGACTGTCTAGGAAGGAGCATGGCAGAAAGGGATCTAGGGGTCATAGTGGACCACAAGTTGAATATGAGTCAACAGTGTGATGCTGTTGCAAAAAAAGCAAATATGATTCTAGGTTGTATCAACAGGTGTGTTGTAAGCAAAACTCGTGAAGTCATTCTGCCGCTCTACTCTGCACTAGTTAGGCCTCAGCTGGAGTACTGTGTCCAGTTCTGGGCGCCACATTTCAAGAAAGATGTGGAGAAATTGGAAAGGGTACAGAGAAGAGCAACAAGAATGATTAAAGGTCTAGAGAACATGACCTATGAAGCCAGGCTTCATGAACTGGGCTTGTTTAGTTTGGAAAAAAGAAGATTAAGGGGGGACATGATAGCGGTTTTCAAATATCTAAAAGGGTGTCACAAGGAGGAAGGAGAAAATTTGTTCCTCTTGGTTTCTGAGGACAGGACAAGGAGTAATGGGCTTAAAGTGCAGCAGGGGAGGTTTAGATTGGACATTAGGAAAAAATTCCTAACTGTCAGGGTGGTCAAATATTGGAATAAATTGCCAAGGGAGGTGGTGGAATCTCCCTCTCTGGAGATATTTAAGAACAGGTTAGATAGACATCTGTCAGGGATGGTGTAGACAGAGCTTGATCCTGCCTTGAGGGCGGGGGGCTGGACTCGATGACCTCTCGAGGTCCCTTCCAGTCCTATTATTCTATGATTCTATGAATCCTCTTGCCATAACTGGATGCCAGTTCTGAGCTGAACTTCCCCTGGAGACTATAAATTGAATTATACACAGTCACTCCCACTTCCCCCATACTAGTCCTATTGTAATCTACTGTTGTGCCTGAACTGATGCAGCCCTGGAGAACATACATCTCTATACACACCACCCCCTCCCTCCCAGGCCCACTTGGACCCCCTGCTGCATCCCAGCTAAGCTTCCTTTCCGTTAACATTACAAAAATCAAGTTGAGATTAACCCGTCAATGTTTGTCTATTCAAATATGGCTCCTGCTTTAGCCCCCTTACCAATCTCCTCCCTGAGCTCCTTAGCAGAAAATGACTGAGCTTTTGAGATGCCCACTGGCAGAAGAGTGGAATAGCGAGGGGGAGTGTTTTGCAGGCTTTCCTATAGCTTATGAGATTATCCCGCATGATCCTGCTCTAAATTCCAGGCTGGGCATGTTTAGATACAGGGCAGGAGACCGACCTTCAGCCCGATCCCTTCTGTCCCGTACCACATCCTGTGTCTTCATCTCTTTCTCAGTGGGTTCTTTTGTGGCTTGACTGAGGTCTGGAGTCAAAGCTCGAGTCATGCCGTCACAGTGAGTCCTCTAATCTTAAAAAGGCCTGGGATGACTCGGGCTGAGCCAGCAGTAGCAATCTGATGTAGAGTGGTACAACACGTTTTTGCAAGGAACCATCCCCGCCCTTCATACTCTTGCTCTTGTATGTACTGTACTAAACTAGATGGTCCTTGGGGCATGGATGCCATTGTCTTAGGACTTGAAATCACCAGGCTTACTAATAGCGCTGTGTACACATCCTAGTCACACTCATGGTGACAGACACATACACACTCATGCACTCACTCACTCACTTTCTTACACATCACACAGTGTACATGCACATTCCCCCTCTGACACTCTCATAGATCATGCAGATGCTCCTCACACACTTGTGCTCATGGGGTTTGTCTAGACTACATGGCTCCATCGACGGAGCCATGTACAGTAGTTTACCTGACATAGTCAATGAAGTGGGGATTTAAATAATCCCCGCTTCATTAAAATAAAAATGGCTGCCACGCTTTGCCCACGATCAGCTGTTTACTCGGCATAGTCAAAGAAGCGGGGATTGAAATAATCCCTGCTTCATTAAAATAAAAATGGTCGCCGCGCTTTGCCCACGATCAGCTGATCCGGCATAGCGCGGCAGTCTAGACGTGGATCGGTTGACAAGGGAAGCCTTTGTCAACTGCTCCCTTATGCCTCGTGAAACGATGTTTACAGCAGCGGTCGACAAAGGCTTCCCTTGTCAACCGATCCACGTCTAGACTCCCGCACTGTGCCAGATCAGCTGATTGTGAGCACAGCGCAGCGGCCATTTTTATTTTAATGAAGCGGGGATTATTTAAATTTTTTAAATCCCCGCTTCATTGACTATGTCGGGTAAACTACTTTACATGGCTCTGTCGATGGAGCCATGTAGTCTAGACACACCCTTGGTGTGATATACAAAAGTTTACACTCCCCTTCCAACTCTTGTATGCACCCCACAGCCTCTCACATGTCAAGAACATGCTTTGTCATCACACTCAGAAGCATCTTCACACACGTGTAAGCAAATGCAACAGCTTCATGCATGCATGTTCACATGCACACGCCTCACCCCTGCATTAGTATATATAATTAGCCAAAAAATCTCACCTCTTTCATCACACTGGCAATAAACACTGCAAACCAAAACCAGTCTTATCCCATGCACACACTCATCATGCGGCGCACACACCCCTCTTCCCACTCTGATATACAGAGTCTCTCACATGCTCTCCCTTACATGCACACATCCTTATCAACTCACCACCAAACAGCTGCAGTACTTCTGAAGGCTGGCCTTCTGCCAGCCCCTGCTCTGTGCTGCTCACATCTCAGAACCTCAGTGAATACAACTCCTTGAATTATTCAACAGCTCGGGAGCTCATTTCTATTTAAAATTTAATTAGAAACCTAGCATGTGTCATTTCATAATATAAGAAATAGTAATAGCATCCCCTAAACCAGGAATCTTTCCCCAATCATATTTAGACTGTAAGTCTGTAATATATTACATGCCACATATGTGATGGAAATGCCTTGTGATTCTCCCTGGAACTGTGTACCAACCCATGAATGATGGATTGGGTTAGCTTTTTAAAACCAGAGACACGTCCTTTCCTTTCCTTTCCTTTCCTTTCCTTTCCTTTCCTTTCCTTTCCTTTCCTTTCCTCACCAACTTAAGAGGAAGAAGATTAGGGTCTGCGTTTTTTAAAAGGCTTTAGCTCCAGCCCTGGTGTAACTCCATGGACATTTCTGACTTCATTGACACTCATAGAATTGCATTGAGCTATATCCATTCATGGTGTGTCTGCTTGGACCACAAATCTGTATGTT